CTTTTACCTTAAATTTGTCATGTTACTTTAAATAATATCACCCACAAGGTAGCAACATAAAAAAGTCTGGATATACAAAATGGCATCCTCCATTAGTCACGTGGGAGCCAACTAAACAGAATCTGATGTTATTTTAAGTCTCAGCTACACTCTTGATTTGGTGATACCCTGAGGAACAGAGAGGACCATTCAGGTGAATAGTAGGTGAAGCTTTGGGGTCTAAGGCTTTTCCTAATGGATAAATGCTTCTCATTAGATTATCCCAAGACACAAGACACTGATTTCGTTGCTTAACAAATGTTCTTAATTTGATTCAGTGCACCTGGGAAATAACATTTCTATTTGCTCTCAAGACATGATTGCATTAAACCTTAATGATGTACTTGGTGTGGGAGTTAGACAAGAATATTTCAACTGAGTGTCAACTACACTACTGGAACACTCTTCCAGCTTTATTTTTTTCAAAAAGCTGTAAGCTTTGATGAACTCTCAATTCACTTCTATTAGTTTGATATAGCCACTGATTAAAATCGCCTCCTTCCACAAGCACAAGGCATCACTAGCCTTCTCCTTGGTAACCAGATATTTTGTGTCCTTTGGCACCAGTTCCTGGAAGTGTCATTATAATGTCTGCAATTTGCAGAATTCAATGGGAGCTCCAGTAAAATAAACAAAACCTAATTATGTCAAATTGGACTTTGCCTGAAGTAGGATGATTGGTTTTTATCCTATGTATTATGTGAGCACCTGCAAAAATGGTAAATGTCAGGCTATTTCTTAGAAAACATGATAAAAAGAATCAGTATGGGAAATTTAGATTGAGTTGCTATGGATCCTATAAATTTGATTTTTCTAGTCTAAATCCTTAAGTTTTGGGTTTTTGAACCCCTGGAATTGTATACAAAATGATGCATGTATGAGCTTTCTTAAAGAAAAGATAGTTCATAACTTTCACCAAATTTTAAAAAAGAATTTCATAGCCCTAAAACATAAAGAATGACTGTTTACATAAAGAAATGGAGTCCATGTGGAATTCTTTAATTAGGTTCTTCTTAGTAGAAATAAGGATTTTTGTAATAGGTACTAATAAATTTTCAAGAGATATGCAATATTGAATATGCTCATCATTACTATTCAATTCCTTTTCTATTTCTGGAGCCATGAATCTCAAAGTTCATCTAAGACAAATTTCATTCTGCCTCCCAGCCCACCCCACAATTTTCTTTTTTTCTAACTTTTGAACATTCAAAATTAACACAAAATTATCAATAGATAGTATTTCTTATTGTGGCTTCCTAATTGAATTTTCCATTCCTGTCTCTAGATTGCATACTGAATGTACTTAATAGAAAAGTGAAAACCTCAAGCACTGTATTATGCAGTGATGTCAATGGTGTCACCCTGCTCATCTTTCTCCTTGTTCCTTCATTGATTGGAAGCAGCTTTTGTGCTGTATTTGCTTGATTTCTCAAAAGACATTTTCCATTAATCAATTACAAGGAAAAACAAAAAGGGTCAGCTTAATGAGGTTAGATGTGTGGCCTGGCTTTTTTGCACCTTTTTTATATCCAAGAGAGTTTGTCATTGTTAAATTGAATTCCTAGCAACTTGGAAGCATCAGATAACAATTATAAGAAGGAAATTTAATTGATAATTCTGATTAATTAACATTTTTGTTTAAAATTTTAAAAATCAATTATAGGATAGTTTATATTCCCAAGAAACACAACACATACTCTCAGAACCTCAATAATCTACTGAGAACAATCTATGCATTTTAAAGAGAGATGATAGGTAGGGTCAAGCGAGGCTTTCAGGTATGGTGATGATAGCAGATGAGTCACCACATTTCTTAATTTTCTGTGTCCAGAAACTAAATTTTAGCCACGCATCTAGGCTTCTTAATTTATTGGAGATCAACGCATGCTAACCAAATAATGAAACACTAAAGTATGAATCAGACACAAGTGTATTTATTTGTCAGAAGCAGAACATATCTATGACTACCTGTTATATTTGGGTCTTCTACTTTTAGTACTCCACAAAACAATTAACACTTGAGAGTTGAGAGTAGAACTGTAACAGAGAAAACTGGCTGTGGGAAATTTCCTAATGATCTTGATTCCACCAAAAGCCCACCTCTCGGGGACCAGCACCTTTGCAACTGCCTGCAGACTCTTGGCACACATTTTTGTATTTGTGAACTGGGTCCGCCACTTCCTTGCAGTGAACACTTAGGTGAGATATTTAGTCTTTTCTAGCCTCACTTGCCTCAACTTTTAGTAGGAGAAATAACAGTGTCTACTTCATAGGTTTGAAATAAGACAATGAATGTAATAAACTTAGCATTGTGTTTGTATGTACTTAATAAATTATACTACTAGACTCCTTTGTTTAATTTCGTTTTTCCTTTTCTTACCCTTACATGTTTTCTTTTTCTTTCTTTCATTCTTACTAAGCTACATTGACTTTTCCCTTAAAATGAGAAATAAGCCTGTATCTGAGAAATAGTGTGGTTTTATGCATACAGTTTAAAATTTTACATGACAGAATGCTCTAAATTTAATTTTTTCATACATTTTTTTACATTACTATATAAGACTTTAATTCATTACCTCTGATTGTTACATAGTATTCTGGCATGTCCATCAGCCATGTTTTATGCATCTCTTCACTTAGGGATGGACACAAGTGGCTTCCATCTCTTTGCTACCCCCAAACAACTCTGTGGTAAACAAATAGGTACATGGTTCCTGTGAACGTGTACAAGCTTGTACATTTCCAGGGGCAAAATTGCTGGGTCACAAATGTATATGTTTACATATGGTGGACCTAGAAGGAAAGTACATACTTTTACATACTTCTCCATAGAGTAGGAGGAGATGTGAGATGAAGGGAAAAGAAAAAAATAAATCAAGGACCCTCCTCAGATGGACACTAGTAGTGTGTCTTGGATTACTGAGAATGATCAACTCTGTCCTGTGTACCTAAGGTCCTTAAAAGTGAAATAAAAAAGATTATGGTTTAATGCATTGTCAGTATAAATACAATGTCTACTACAAAGACTCAGCATCACTATCTGTGCTCCAGGGCCAGGATGTGAGCCTCCTACCACCATATCAAGACGCTCCAGAAAGTCATCAGATGATGTTGGTGAAGCCCTTAAAACTCTCGAGACTTTGGGCTCTAGATGAATAATGCAAACTTGTTACTCCACATAGGTAGTTCTCAAAATTTTAATTATAGATTTTATTATCAATCAACTCTAGAGATAGCTGTGACTTATATGGTGTCTTCCAGCCTGACTATTGCTGACTCTCAGTTAGTCTATAAAGGTGTGTTACAAGTGTGCTATTTTGACACTTTTTGGACATTTCACCTAATCAAAGAACGGGATGTCTCATGCTCAGGTCACATATTATGAAGCCACATATATATTGGCAAGAGGTGTAGAATCAGGAGTTTGGAAGTAAGCAGTACTAAGAAAATGTCAAACCAGGGTTCACGTGTTAGTTGAAATTAACACTCATAAATGGATATTAATCTAAAAAATTAAAAGAAATGAAAGATTATTCAAGTAATTGCTTTCCTTATGCCTAAAGACTGAAGTAAGTAAACCTTTCATTTTCAGTAACACTGTGATTTTTCATAGATCCAATGCTAATGACAAGCAGGACGGCTTTTCAAAGCTGGATAAGGTGATTAGTTCTTTAGGAGCTGAGGAGAGACAGACCTGGAAAGGTGGTTACAATGAGTTTCTTTGGAACTAATAATAAGGGAACTAATATGAAAGAGAGGAATCTTCTCTGAGACATGTCCACATGTGGTTCAGTCCTTTAATTCAGAGCAGAATTATTTTAATTTTTAATAGTTTAGGATGTAATGGATAAATTAAATTAGTTCACTTTGCTTCAACAATTATATTAATCCATTGTTATTTTTGGTATGGCATGTCACTGTAACTCTTACTGTTTAGAAGCCAGGAATCACAATGGAAGAGCACGTTTATAAGTAAACACCACCACCAAATTTTATTTCCATTTTATTGAATTGGGTTTTATTGATTTGTTTCACCTTGGGAAAAATGATCCCATAAAGGAAATTTAAAATGTAGGTGACAAAGGACTAACTATGTATAAATAGCATTCTTATTCAGTTATCTTTATCCAAGAAAAACAGCTCTTCATTTGTAAGTTTTTTATGAATGTTAACTGTAAATATACCAGCAATGAAGGTGAGGCAGATTTGGGACAACAATATGTGATGAAATCCAATCTTTCACTCTAGCAGCTAATAGCTGCCTGTGAAGCCCTATTCTTAGAACTTTGTCCCCTTTTAACTCTTGTTAGTTGTATATGCATTGATTTAGGGTTCTGGAAGACAGACCTCCCAAAATAGATGACTTCCTCAATAGGAATCCTTTTAAAGGGGTGTTGACATGTCATATAGCTACAACCCTTTTAGTAGGAGGTAGTGCTGGTATAAAAGCACCAGTTAAAACTTATATTCACCTGTGTTCTACAGATAGCATGTGTTTATATATCCGGTATTGAATACCTATAGCATGGCCTCATTTTCCAAATCTAGCCTGATCCCCTTTCCTAGGGCAAGAAGAGCAATTTGTAAAATAATCTCTTTGTCATAACCCTCAAGCAGTATTTCTGGGCTTGAAGGTATGCTGGAGGCCCTGTGTGTTGGCTCACACAGCTCACCAGGAAGTCTACCTTGAACTCACCTCTCTGGTCCACCTGTCGTCCCAGGAAATACACCCTGGAAAATTCCCCAGATTGTCTTAATGAATCTGTCTCTTGCCTTGGGTCACTCAGCCCCAGTAGAAGAAATTGCACTGTTCATAACAGAGATACCTTAATTCTATAGTTAAAAGATTGGAATCTGACACAAAAATCTATTTTTTCTAGTTTTAACAGTTCTGGGGAAGATTAAGAGAAGGAATAGTCATTTTTTTTGGTTTGGTTTGGTTTTCGTTTTCTCTGATGCAGTGATTCTGTAGCATCCTCTTGATGAGGGAAGCACTGAAGCTCACCCACTTGCCAGCCACTGCCCCGCTTTGGGCAATCTGAAGCTGATCACGGCATCCCTGGAGGATGGTGTAAAATGCCAGTGAACTTGTGAACTAATTCAATGACATGCCTGTTGTTCCACTTATTTAGGTTTAGGTGAGTGGTTTTCTGACCGGGGAAGCATTTCACATATTCTTGACCATAATAAATTAACTCAGGAAATTTAAGGATTAGACCCTTTGCTGTTTATCTCTCATTCTCAGCTGTCAAACTGGGACTAAAGACCCCCAGAGGTCTTGATCCTGGGAGGATTTGTGAGCATTCAGAAAAGGCCAAATTAACTATTGTTAGGTCACAGGATCATTCTGTGACATTTGTGGCATTGCCTCTGTAGAACTGATCCTTAATTATAGGCAGCAGGTGGAGCTGCAGGCGAATGAACGACCTCGTCGAGTCTCCTCCTCTAGTAGACTTAGTACTGTGGCAGTTCAGAGGCAGTCACTGTTCATCAGCCCCAGGTCAGCCTGCAGTGACTGTATATAATGCCTTATATCCCTACTCCAAGCCCAGAGAAACAAGAGAGAGACTCATTGCCTTCTAGAACTCTAAGTGGTGCGGCCCTGATAGAAACTACCATTTCCTGGACTTGGTAGAGCTGGACAAGAAAGGTTACTTTGGAGTATAAACTCCCAAGACTCAGCAGCTGATGAGGCTAAGAAACAGGCCAAGTCACAGAAAGACAAAAACTACATGATTCCACTTTCATGAAGTATCTGAAACTGTCAAATTCACTGAATCAAAATGTGAATAGTGGTTGCCAGGGGCAGAGGGCGGGGAAATGGGACGTAGCTAGTCAATGTGCAAAGTTTCAGTTAAGTAAAAGAAGCACACTCTAGAAATCTGTACAACAGTATACCTATAGTCAACATTACTCTTTTGTGCACTGAACATTTGTTAAGGCAGATCCCATGTTAAGTGCTCCTAACACAGTAAAATAAAATTTAAGAAAAAAATAGCAGAGCCAGATTTGTCAATTCTTACTTAGTAGATGATAGAACCTAAGAGTCCTTATTAGTCTAAAGCATGAATCAGATCAGGGGAACAGATGATCTAAAGAAAAAATTCTCTGGTTTACAGTTTAGTTGAAGCTTCTTACTGTTTCCCCACCTAATAACTCACATTTATGATTTCTTCTAGAAGAGCTGCATGGATGAAGATGGAGTGTGACACCTGAAATAATAGGATTTTACAGGAAATAATGTAAATGAAGCCTTTGCCCTTAATGACCCATAATAAAATGCTCTTGTTACCAAGCTCTGCAGGCAACCCAGTGTGGGTTACCATGGAAACACCCAGCTGTGCCTTGCACTCTTGCTTAATGATCAGTGTGATGTCAAGCTCTTGAGAAAACTGCAAACTGAGACAAATCTTTACGGCCCCAGTGACAGTCCACTGGGGACTTCAGTTATGTCTGGGTGAGGGTTCCTGTGTCCAGGTATAATTAAAATTGTCTCAGACCTATGAGTGGAAATGCTTTCAGCAGAGAATTAGGTCACCTTTCAAATTCTCCACTCACTTTCATTTCTCCACATGACTGCCCAGCTGGAAGTGAGCCAGAACAAGGCAGCCACATGCATTACTAAAGATAACTCTTCGCATACCTGTGAGTGGGCTCACCCCCTGCATGGGTGGGCGAATGGCTGGTCTGCCCTGGTCCACACCAAAAAAGGACACTGTGAAGAGCTTTTTGTCCCATCTTCCCACATTCCCTGCATCTACCTTCCACCATGACTGTGCTGAAAATTCTATTACTCATTATTTTGATTTAGACAACCAATCAAGACCTTTTACTCAGAATATAATTTTCAAAAATTATTTTTTATCTTGGAGGGAAAGACAGGCCTTGGGGAATCTGTCCTTTTATCTTTCCTTTTCTTCCTTTCATTCCCCTCCCTCACCACCCCTCTTCACACCCTCTTAAAAGTGTTTATTAGGTACCTGTTATCTGCAAAGCAGTTACCAGGAACACAAGGAAGAATGATTTTAAATGTTTGGGGAATTGTGAGCTACTCAGAATGGCGGACGCTTTGGCCATGAGAGCAGTCTAGGGAGAAATAAGATTGAGAGATAGGCAGGGTCCACATTCTAATGGGCTTTTACTTTATTTTGCAGGCAAATAGGAGCTGCATAAGGTTTTAAGGAAGGCAGGGCATTACAACTGCCATTTAGGAAGATTATTTTCTTCCAGCAAAGAAAAGCATGAACTGGGGAAAACAAGGGGTAATTAGGAAGTTATTGAAATAGTGTGACTATAGTATACATCTATTTTTTTTTTTTATTATTGTTGTCTGTCTAGCATCTGCTTTTTGGAAGAGCATTACCCTGCCTTCAACCCCTGGCTCACCCTCACAGTGGGGGGCATATGGCCCAAACCCAGCCTATTAGAGTACCCTACCCCTGGTTCACTGTGAGTAGTTCAGGGGTGGGCACATAATCTAAGCAGCACCAATCAGACTTCTCGCATAAAACCTCACATATGGACTTCAGACACCGGATTACTCCTTTTTTTGTTTCCTTCAAGATGGAATGATGTAGGTTTTGGTTTCCTGAGGCCATCTTTCCTGCTACATGGAGAGGGCTCTCTGATCACTAGCCAATATATAAATGAAAATGCACTAAAAGGTGGGGAAACAGAGCTCTATTGGTATTGTCTGAGCCCCTAAAATCTAGGACCTAGATCCAGGTGTGTCTGAAACCAGTGTACCAATGGGACTTCCCAGTCACACACACCAACAAATTCCTTTTCTGCTTGAGCAAGCTTGAGTTAGTTTTTTGTCACTTGCAACTGAATGCTTCCTGACCAAGAAACCAGGCAGAAATCATGAGGACCTGAGTTGAGGCTGGAAGGCTGGTTTCAGGGAAGTTAACGGAACAGAGAAGCTGGCTTCTTACCGGCAGACTACGTTGTGTTTCCCCCATTCTTGTCTTCTTGAAGAAAGAATTCAGCAGAGAAACTACATAGCAAGAAAATGCAGCAAGTAATCTATTGGGATAAAGCAAAAAGTACACTCTCAAGACTGGAGAGTGGCTGTCTGGAAACGAGAAGCAGCCCCACTATTAGGGTTAGGTTGGCTTTTATTTTCTATTAGATGGCAGGAAGTCCCGCCCTGTGCCTTACATCATTTGATTGACAGGTCGATTAACTGTTATAAGTTACATGAGCTTTTTCTTATTGCGCAGGCACCTTATGCTTTAATTCCTAAGTGAAACCTACAGTGGGGGCAAAACTGCAATGCTAATTAGATTTAGATGTTATTTTTAACTAGGTAGGGTTACTTTCAGACAAGGTCTTGGGGCCTTTCGAGTGCCCTGTAATCAGGGAAGGCCCTGTGGTCCTAGGCCTCTTGACAATCTAGGTGTTCTTGACAGCTGGGCTTTCTGGTAAACTAGGTATCCTCGACTGTGGAACTGGGAGCTAAGGAGGGCTTACAGGTTGGCCGGGGAGGAGTCTTCCTTGGTGACGGGCTGGTGCCTTTCTCTGGCTTATGTCTAACTGCCTACTCCAACAGGCTGAGTGAGAAGTGCTAACAGAGGCACCTACAAAGTACTGAGGGGACGAAAGGTGGACCCACCAGCCGTGGGCCTCCAACTCCTGCACAGACAGGGGCTGCGACATTTCTGCTTTGGTAAGTAGACTGGTGAAGAACATTTCTTCTTCTGATAGAGACTCTATCTCTCTGGAGTGACCAGATTTAAAGTTTAATCTTATGTTGATTTTGTCTTCATGTCTCTCACTGGCCATGGTTCTACTTGTCAGGTCCTTACAGAATATATGTAGTCTCTCTCCTACAGGAATCCCTTCTCAAATTTGGTAATAACATCCATGCATCTCTTCCATCCTCCCCTTTCCAGTCTAAACATCTCTAGTTTCCTTCCAATGTGCTTCCTGGGAGATCGTTTGGGTGCTTTTTAAAGTGGCACTTACCAGTATGTAAAGTTATTGACTGTTTACTTATCTTCTGCTTTCATTAAGCAGTCATCTCCATGTGAGCAGGGACTGTATGTGTTTTGTGCCTCATTTATTCCCAGCACCAAAGTCAGTGACTAAAACAAAGGAGGCACTCGGTAAATATTTGCTGGTGTGTAGTTTCTAGTTTCTAGCCCATCGCTATCTCAATGGATCTCTTGTTTATGGCCTGACTAATACGTCATATTGGTGCACAATACAACATTGATGTTAGCAGAACCATTGCAGAATGGAAGGAGGTGGTTGCCAATTTGTCCTGTATCTATATATCTGTATGATGCACCCCAACATTGCATGGGATTTTGAGGGAGCTACATCACAGTGTCATCCTATATCTCAAACCACTAAGTCTTTTTCATGAAGCAGGTACTAAGCCATGTCTCACCCTAATTAATGAATCTGACACCAGGCTCGAAGAGGTCAGCTCTTTGGCATCATCCGTGTTACTATCCCCAAATCCTAGCACAAGGCCAGGTATCTAGAGCGTATTCAGCTAAGTGTTTGCTGGACAAATGCGAAAGAAATGCCTTTTGTATTTTCCAAGTTTTAATTAAAATATAAAAAAGGACAGAATATTTTAGCTTTTTTCCAGAAACATCCTTCTTTTGCTAACTCTTCCTCAATGTGTATTAACCCCAGTGTATTCAGATTCTTCTCACTTTTCTCCTTCACTTTAGTCATAAGGAAGGCTTTAGGATGATACAGTGCACGTACACTATAGAAGCAGATGAAATGAAAAATGAATTTAGACTGACCTAACTTGATGTTAAGAACCTATACTCATTCCTGGTGACTGCAACTTTCTCTTCTATAGGTCCCAAATCCTCCCTTTGTGGGCAAAATGTCCCGTGAGCCCTTCAGTGGACGCCCTGGGGGGAAGAGCACTTGACCTTTCATGATGCTGTTGCAGGTCAAGATGCGTGGTGAGAGGAGGTCGAGTAGAGAAGCAGCCACAAAACCCCCAGAGTATATTTTTGAAGCCATTTTTGGACTACATAAATTTTCATTTGGTTTAGGAAAGCATCACATATCCAGTGTCTATTCAGAATAAACCACTGATGGTTATAATTATAAGGGATGTTCAGGATGGGGCCTCTGTCCTTCCTTTCAGCATGAGAGTTACCTCCAGCAGGCGGCTCGTCCTAGGTTTGGGCCACAGGGATGCTGACTGGCAGAGGCGGAAGTAGGGTGGGAGCTTACTGCACTCCACCTGCCCTCCCAGGGCCCCTTCGAGCTGAGTGCATGGGTTGCACCAGCACTACTTCTTTTCCAGCAATGGTAATGACTCTGGAAAATTATGAAGGGCCTTTCTAAGATTCTAGTGTCCTTTAAAACCAAAGAGCATATGGCAGTACATGGAGCCTATAGCCCCTCCCAACATAAAACAGCACGGTCCTTCTGTCTGAAATGCCTTCCCCCAGAATCCATTGGCATAAAGAGCCACCTTCCCTTGAAATGTACAGGACACTTAAAACAACCACAGGATCTCCTACATGACTAATGGCTGTGTCTTCTCTGAGTTTTGGCAACAAGGCAAACTGGATTTGGCTGTATGTGGGCCAAATCAGTAGGCCTGCAGCGTCATTTTGTTCATACTAATTTGAGGAGGCTGTCACTTTCCTCAAATCCATGACAGCTGCTATGATTACTATCAGATCTCTACTATCACATTCCTTCTCTCCATAGCTTGTAAATTAGGAATGGATAAACATGCAGACAGCTTACAGGGATGTTATTTTTTCCTCACATAGAGAACTTTTGGGCACTCTTAACTGGTTTACTGAAAAATGTCCCCAAAACTTTATTTTTGGCTTTGTCAGGCATAAGAGACTTTCTCTTCCCACCTCCACCCTCTTTCTCTCCCCTCATTTTTTTAGAAAATGTTTAGAAAAGCAAGAGGATCATATAGTCAGAATATCATTATAAAGCACATTTCTACTAAAATTAGTAAGTGGTAATCTCATAGTCTTAAAAAGTCCCTGCCTTGTCCTCTGTGTTGAATTTATTGCTAGAAATTAAGTAAGCTATAGGGGAGCTTTTAATTATGTCATAGTTCACAGGCCTTCTGGGGACAAGGGACTGAGTTTGGCTACTTGAGGAGTATAATGGTTAATGGTACCGAGTGTTTTGATGAGTACGATTTGAATAAAGATAATGAATAATAAAAGAGCCCTGTAAATACTTGCTGACTGATGTATTTACTGATTCAGTGAAGAATCTTAGTTCGTTGCTTAATTTCCCTGCTTCCCTATGTCTCCACCAGATGGCAGAAGAAGGGCCAGGTGCTTTGAGCTACAGATATTTTTGATTCTTACATACTAAATGTAGGATGGTATTAAAGGTAGGAAACAAATACTGAAATATATGCTATGATTTTATTTTTATTGTACTTCCTACATGGAAATATCTTGAAATAGAGAAAGGATTGTGGAGAACTTAGGTCCTTGGTTGGAGGTTAAAAGTTAAGCTTGGGACTACAGAACAAGGGATGTATTAATACTCTTTCTGGTATCCCTATGAACTAGGAAAGGAGGATGGGAAAATTATTCAATGGTTTTTCCTCATCCTCCTTTCCTATTTGAAAATGTAAGTAGGAAAGACATATGAAAATGAGATACACTCTTTTACCCAGTGCTGCAACAACTCTAGAGCTAAAAGGAATTACATTCTCTACTCCTATTTGGGACACTTTTGAGGATAAACTCTTAAAATTCATTTCAGAGGATAGGTAAAGTTATAAGGAAATAAAAAGGGTTAGTCAGGGACCAAAGGGCCATCAGCCAACAAAAATAAGAGTTTGAATTCTTACAGCCAGTAAATGTTTAACATCCAGGCACAGTCAAGTGTTGCCCAAGTTTATTTGCAAAGTTCTTAAACAAACTGGGAAAAATATTTTATTATTCCTATACAAATGGATTTAAAGGGGAAATTTGAATAAAGATGTGTTTCAGTTGGAAAACAACTTCCATTCAATTTCATTCTCATTGGTTTATCTCATCCACATCTAAAAACCAAAGCATTTTTCATCATTTACACAGTCTGTCTTTTGGGATAAGTGGCCATCAGATTACAGTTTAGATGGAAATGGAATGAACTGAAAGAGATTGTTTTGAGAGTATTCTTTTTAGGTAGTAACCTGCATACTAGAAATGGAAAATTAACTTTAAGACAGTGGTTCTGATATTTTTAAAATCCATATTTGAGAACAATATTTTAAGAAGCACAGACATATTTGCAATATTTTATTGCGCAGCCACTGTTTTCTGAGGTTTTGACTTTAACCTTTTCTAGTCTCCATGGCAACAAGAACACAAATACAACATCCATACCCAGAGCTGTATCTATGAGGAAGAATTTCCAACTGTATATGTAGTATGTACATTTGGTCTAAGCATTTCAAAGAGAATTTAATGTAATTTTAAACTTAGCAAATTGTCTGAGTGAGTCATAAATTGGAAATAGTGTGTATGGCTAGGAAAATGTACTCTCATAACTGACCAAGGGAAAATAGTGTTGGATTCATCTTCTCTCCAGAAACTCCATCTTGCCTTCGCACATCTCCCTTCCTGAGGTTAAGAATCTCATGGAAAACCTGAAGAAAATCATTCTATGACTTCATTTTTCTTCTTTTTAAAATACAAGATTAAAATAAGTGATTTATTTTTAAGCAAGCATGAACCTGTAATCTGAGACAGTAGCCTTGCAAAAACATTTCCAATTACTGGCTGTAAATTGCTTTCTTAATAACCCTTCTAAATGTTTACTTGACCTTCTGAGAGGAGAAAGCAGGCATTGAAATTCCATCCCTGTGTTCTCTGACGACTGGCTAGGGTGCTTCTTACACAGAATCCCATGAAAGCAGGGAGGGTGATTGATTGTACAATGGAGTAAATTCCATCCTGGACTTTGAATAACACCTCTGGAGGAGCCAAAAAGGGATCCCGTTCTGGTTTCGGTAAGAATAACTCCAACGGTGAGATGCATGGGAATCAGGAGATCTCTTGGGCAGGGATGAAGAGCCACAGAAGAGAAGCAGGAAAGTGTGACTACCAGAGACACAAAGAGAAGCTTCTGCAGGGAGCCTCACACAAATATTTACTAAATGCTCTTTGATTGGATCGAATGATGGAAGTGTGGAGGCCATGTCAGGCAGTCTCAGCACCCTAGCCCAGGAATGCCTTTGGCAATCTAAATCTCGGGTTACTTGGAGACACCTGACTGTTGGAAGGAGTGGAGGGGTGCTGTGCCCTTGGCTCTGCATGAAAGGGCAGCAGCAGGTCCTGCTCCAGCCGCTCCTCCATGGGAAGCCCATATTGAGCCTTGTGGAAAGCTGTCTGGGGTGTACTCTGTGACTCTATGGGAGGTGCTGCAGCTCAACCCTCAGTTTTCTGATGTCTAAAATGAGGATGAAAATAAATTTTAAGTAATAACATTTATGTACAAAATCTAACTCATAGCATTGCTTGATGTTAAAGAAAAAATTTCAACAGCTCTTGTGAAAATGTTAGGTCCTTTTCAGCAGAACATTCTTCTGCTAACATCCATCAAGGAGGCAGCATAGCTGAGTGGAAAGAATGCTGGCCTGAGAATGAGGCCAAGGAGCAAATGCAAGTCCCAGCAGGGTGGGAACTAGCTGTGAGACCTGACAAAGCCTTGCAG